AATCCCTCTGTGTTTATATTTTTTAGGGATGATTGAGTTTCCTGAATGGGTACATTTTTTTCTTTTATCAAATTTTGGTAAACTTGGGGCATCATTTCTTCAAATATCCCCTTCCATTTCCCTGACTCCTCTCTTGCTAGGATTCTCATTTCGCATATATTGGTATGCTTGGCAGTGTTTGCTTAAGCACTGAGCTAGGCTGCTTTGTCTACACTAGAGAAACAGAACCAGTGACACGCACATATGTTGAAAGAAGAACTGCGGATCAAGAAGAAATATCAAGAAGGCACCCTGGTGCCGTCCACCTCAAGTCTGTAATTCGAGTGCAGTCCCGGGCCCTCTTCAGATTTGCATAGCTACGAGCTTCACAGGAAAGGTGAGGTGGGATTCAGGAAGGTCACAGGCTAGTAGGTGCAGAGCCCCTTGGATCCAAGGTCACTGGAAACCTGCCAGGGTGGCCACAGCTCTCAGGTTTTGGTAGCTCAAATGGGGCCAGCCCTGGGGGCCCACAGACTCCTGGCAAGCAGGAAGACAAAGGGTCAGGGGGCAAGAAGAAGTTCCCAATTTCTCCCTTATGAAAAACCACACCCCTCAGGAGGCATTATCAAGTCGCGACCTGCTTCACAGGTTGGATTCCAGCCCGCACACTTCCACACAGATACAGTCAATGCAAAATCAAACCACCACAGCTCTGTTGTTAAGTTTTCCCCGTTCTGTTAAGATTTACCAGCACCCATTGTTTTTAGATCCTATCCATATGTGGAATAGAAAATAATGCCCTATCTTTATATTTACTGATTCTTCCTTCTGCTTGTTCCAATCTGCTACTGAAATCTTCAAATTAGTTTCTCATTTTTGTTATTGTGCTTTTCAGCTCGATATTTATTTTTATTTGTTTTATGATTTCTATCACTTATTGATTGTGTCTATTTATTTGTGCAATGCTATTTTGTTTCCTTTAGCTCTTTGTTCATAATTTCCTTGAACCCTTTTAGCTGATTTAAGGCATTTATTTAGTCTTTGTCTAAGTCTACTTCCCCAGGGAAAACTACTGTTAATTTCTTTTGTAAATGGACCATACTTTGTTGTTTCTTTGCATGCTTTATAACTTTTTGTTAAACATGGTGCAGATTAAATAGTATAGTGGGGTAACTCTAGAAATGAAATCCTCCTCCCTCCTCAGAGTTTATCTTGATTGCTTGCTGTAAGTGGCAGCTGTTTGTTTAGTGACTTTTCTAAATTGAATTTGCAATATTTTTTCTCTGTTCCTTTACCTTTTTTGCAGTTTATGTTTTCTCAGATTTATTTGAATGCCTGGAGAGAGAGAGGGAGGGAGAGAAAGAGAACACTGAGGAGAAATAGGAAAGGAAACAATAACAACAATTAAATGGAAATAAATCGCAATCTTTTCAAATTGACTGTGTGAGTATTCTTTCTGTATTCAGGTCCTTTATAGCTCTGCATTAGCCTTCATTTAGTTTTCAATTAGTCTGGAGAAGACATCAGAGGTGAAGCTTACAGTCTTTTCAGGTTGTTTATGATAATGCACCCTGTCCTGGGCATGTGCATGGCTTTCCAGTATATATTGGCTCCTTTGAATGTCTTAATTTCTTAAAGAAACTCCTTTGTCCTCCCATAATCTTGGCCATACTTCCACCATAATATTTTCCCCTAGATGGCTGTGTATTTGTTTGTTCTCTTGACTATGTTTGAAGTTTGAGAAATGTTCATCTTCCTTCTGCTCTGAGTTCTAAGATAGGCATAATAAAGATAAGAGGGTTTTTTTCATTCTTCATATTGCCCCAGGTAGTATAGAAAAGAAAAAAAATTATGAATGAGGCCATTCCAGCTCCCAGCAGAATCAAGGAGCAGGAGCTAACTCTGACAGAGAGGACTGATATCTTCCAGAAAGCCATGGAGGAATGAAATTATCACTAATTTTTCTATTGCTTTTCAATTGATCCACCTTTTGCTTAGGCACTGTCCACTGTAAGTGTTTGACTACTTTTCAGAGTTCTGACAAAAATGGTTTTGGCAGTTTTTGCTTGAGCTTGATTTTTTAAAAAAATATTTCTCTAGAAGGATAAGTACTTGGAGCTGCCTAGCCCGTATCAAGTTGCCATAGATTAGAACTAATTTATGGCACCTCGATGTGTGTCAGATTAGAATTGAGCCACGTAGGGCTCTCTATGGCTGGTTTGGGGGGAGGAGATCACCAGGCGTTTTCCCTAGGTGACTCCGGAGTAGAGATCTACATCTTAGAGTGAACAAAAGAAAGGAGGATTACCTGCCTTTTTGTCATCAGCTGCATATGTTAATCATTTTCACCACCCAGGAGTGCCTTGAAGCTGCTTATGCTGTCATTTTCTAAGGCTGTATGTTATGTAATTGACAGCATTATCATAACAATTAAATGAGGCGATGCCCCTAGACTCGTTATTTTAATCCATGTAACTATTACCACTAATTTGTACACATAATGCATAAAGAACCAGGTTGCACATTTTTATAAATGTGTATGTGTATGTATAAACAATTGATCATGTTATCTAGGGTCTTCCTAACACAGCTGGACTTTCACTCTCTTTTTATGTTTCAGGTACTTACTTCACGTAACATTTATTTTGTCAAGTTCACATTGCTTTCAGAGTGAGCCACTTTCCTCTAATCTGGCATCTACCAGTTAAAACCGTCTCGGCATAGGCTACATGGTTTGTTCTTCCTTTCTTTTCATGGCTCGTCGACTCCTCCCAACTCGATCTCCAGAGTAAAATGTCGTTGCTGTTGTAGGTGCGGTCAAGTCAGTCCTGGCTCGTAGTGACCCTGTGCTCCGTAGAACCAAACACCTTGTCCTGCGCCATCCTCGTAATTGCCCTCATGCTTGAGCCCATTGTTGCAGCCACTGTGTCAGTCCATCTTGTTAAGGATCCTCCTCCTTTTTTGCCGCCCGTCTATTTTACCAAGCATGGTGTCCTTTTCCAGGGACTGGTCTCTCCTAAGAACCTGCCCAAGGAAGCAAGACTTAGTCTCACGATCCTTGCTTGCTGTATTTCTTCCAAGATAGATTTACTTATAGACTCTGTAAATTATTCTTAAATGAGTATATATATATATGTGTGTGTGTGTGTGTGTGAATATGTTTGGGTGTATGACTTTAAAAATAATATGGGAGGATGTCTACTTCATAGAATTCTAAAATCAGGAAGATTCTAAGGGGACTGGAAGTTCATTTATTATGACTTCTTATTTTATAAAATAGGAAACAAAAGCCCAAATTGATTGAAAGAATTGACTCATCAAAAACTCAAGCCATGATCTTCTGGCATCTGTAGCAAGCTATATTTAATCAATACCCCGGCCTTCACTGCAGTCCCAGGCACGGATAATATAACAGCTTTAAATGGACCTCAGATAACTTTTGTCTATGGGGAGAAACACACATTAGCATACATTCTACTCAACTTTCTCAAAATGTTCTTTTCTCTCCTCTCCTGTTAAAAGTAGACACACAAGCCTTTTACACACAGCCAAACCAAGTCTATCTGACCACCAGGGGGCCAGTCACCAGATAAGAGACAAACTCGGGAACCAGCTTCTTGCCTAACACACTCTCCGTGTTTTGTTACAAAAATAACTGTGCATCACTGGAATGTGGAAAAAACTGCCTTTCCAACTGGAATCTTTGTTTAAGTGGCTAGAGCTAAGCTACTTAAACCTATTCCTCCGATAAAACAGAGGGTATTCCAAGAACGTTGAATTTTAAACAATGTGTATTTTTTTAATGTCCGTGCCACAGTCTGTGAACTAGGACAGTATGTGGTTTGGATATTGTGTGCATGTAGTATTAGAACCTACGGGAGTGTGTTTGCCGTGGCTTTTGTCACCCTGCTGTGGCTCCTGCTGCTGAAGCTGCTGGCAGAGGTTGTAGGAACAGGCCGCGGCAGGGCTGAAAGGGTGGCACCAGGAGTTTAGCAAGAAGATGCACGCACAGCGGGAGGGAGCAAACTGTGCCCAACTTAGCCTCTGGTCCACCCACCTGAGCAGCAAGAGCAGTTTGGGTCCCACCCACCTGCCATCGCAGAGTCCAACACTCCCCCCTCCCCTTGCCACACACACACACACAGCACCCACCAAAGCTGTCTGCTTCACTCGCCTGTATCCTTGTGGTCCACAGTTGCAAGAATCTGGTGTGGAGGTCTTTTAATTCATTAGGGAGAACTGATATACAAAAGGCAAGATGCTTCCCCTTTAAAACAAGTCAAACAAACAAAAAAAACTAGGGAACCACAAGTACATATAAATGGTTTGATGTTGTCCAAGTAGACAGATCATGCCTGCATTTTCAGCTACTAAAAAAGTATTTTAAAATCATTTTTATTCAACAGTGACTGGACATTTTATGACTTTAAGGAACTATTATAATTATACTTTAGATAGTTTTTTAATCTCTTATCTTTTAGAACTATAGTTCAACTATTATGATAAAAATGAGATGATCTTTATTATTTGCTTCAAACTATTTTAAGACATAAGAGGAAGCAGATAGAGATAGACATGAATGGAATCTGATCATGTGCATTATGCAATGACCCAGCCAACATAAAATGACTCATATATCATTTTTGTACATTTCTTATTTAAGATAGAATAATAAAAATCCTAAGACGAACCTCAAATATAAATAATAGGTATATTTTAAAGACATGATTACTAGAACTTGTTTACTTGTCTCTCAGGGTTTTTTGTCTTTTTCTTTCTGTTTTACATAGCAAAATTTCCTGAATAACCCAGTCAGAAAAACTATAACATAATGTATTTGAAACTATAATGTAAGGATTTGGTAACATTAAACAGTATCAATGTGACTATATGTATATATGTGTATGTATATATATATATATTATCAAATGATATCACGTAGAAGCCCTGATGAAATTTAAGGACTGTGAATGGATAAAGTATTTTACGTGTAAACTAATGCAGGTTCTGTCTTTTAAGAAATATCTATGGAATGCTTCGCAAATCTGTGTGTGATACTTTGTGCAGGGGCCATGCTAATCTCTGTGTCGATCCAATGAGAGTATATGTGCAACCAAAGCGAGCACTCCTTCCTCTCTTTATGGTGCCCCTGTGCCTGAGGAACTTCGTGTGAGTGGCTGTCCAATCAGCTCCAGTTTATGATGCTCCCTGTGTAACAGAACGAATTGTTGGCCAGCCCTTTGCCATCTTGATGACCATTGAGAGGTTGGTGCCTAATGTTGGGGCTACTGTGTCAATCTACCTAATTGAGGGTTTCTTGGAGCAGTGGTTCTGAACCAAAGAAGATCCTGCCCACTGCCCAGCTGATTGTCACAGTTGAAAGAAGGTTGTCACGGACATCTAGTGGGTAGAAACCAGAGGTGTTGCTGAGCATCCTGTAATGCACAGGGCAGACACCTATAGCAATCGATTTTCTGACCTGAAATGTTAACAGAATTAAACTTGCAAAACTCTCTCTTACAATCATGCTATTTCAGAGCTGAAGGCACCTCAGGTTCATACATACATAGCACCTTCATGCTTGACCTTTGGAGACTTTGAAAACAGACCATTTGTCCCCTTCAAGTGTCCCAGCAAATACTGATAGTGATTCTTTAGAAATTAGATCACTTTTCCCCCTGAGCGTTGTTATTTGATGGTCTCTAGAGGCCTCAAAAACTCTGATGAAAAAGCCTCAACTCAAAGATACCAGGCTGATTAGTTTTAGCCTATCCCTTGCACGAAGTAAGTGCTCAGTATATTCATTGAATCTCATAACTCACTACAATAAGAAACTTGAATTTTTTCCCCTCTAAAAATTGCCTCCAAATTTATTGTCCCCATTAAACCTGTGGAAGAAGATTTTGTTGAGAAAATGAGTATGTGTGCCCATGATCATCTTTAAACATGAGAAGTTAGAAGCCAGTTTTTAGCAGTTTTAAATGTAGCTACCCAAGAATTATTCAGATAATACAAAATTATGCAGTGAACTCAAACTGGCAAGCCTTACCTATTTACCTTAGAGAAATATGAATATTTCTAAACTTCATTTTAAAGTTTCATCACAATGTAATTTGTGACAAATATGACTGTCTCGGTATTATATTCAGGATCTAATGCATTTGTGAACTTTGGATATGTATTAAATACGTTGCCCAAACATATAAAATCAAACTCAAAGGACCCCGAGTGAATCACGGATTTGAGAACAGTAAAAATGGCAGCCAACATCACAAATATAGAGATGACCAAATATTACATGTTCCCTTATAGAATGACACAAAACAAAAACTCCAGTGGCACTTGAATCTAATGGAGTCTCTATCGAATTAGCCAATTTATAGATAATAGGAAATCCAGACCAGCGGGACTCTGTGAGTCTAATGATTTCATCAAATAATTTACAAATAACTTTTAAAAATGAACATGGAGGAAAAATGTTTAAATAAAAAAGACTTGAAACATATTAATAGAAACTAGGTGAAACTGTTAAAGGTTTCACAATATCTTGTTGGATGATAACACTGGACAAATACAACAAAATGATGAGCATACAGGATATCAGTTTCTTTTAGAAAAGGAGAAGAGTGTTTTGTTGACTCAGAGCCTTGTGATGACCAATATTTTGTTTCTTAATCTGGATGTTAGATGCATTTGTAATAATTCACTAAGCGCTACATTTGTTTCACACAGTTTACTATACCTATTTTATGTTATAATAACTATTTATCTTACAAAAGCAAACCACTGTAACACTTATACAAGGTAATCTCACATACAAAATTAAGAAAATGATGTAAAAGGGGCACAAGCTGTGTCCATGGCGTCACAGGATAAGCATCACCCACCCAGGTGACATCACACTAAGTACGATTGAGTAGAATATTCCTAAACCATACTTTCTATACACAACTTTTGCCTTATATTTGTGGTCTCTTGTCACTTTAACTGGCACGAACTGGGGGCAAAAAAAAGACTTTCTAATATAAAAGGTTGGTGTTCCCATAATTGTAGTATTTAATCACTGTTTCTAGGACAGTTTACTACAATTGAAAATGCATATCTCCAATCCATCATGTATAATGATAAGTACTGCATGTTTAGCAAAATTACATTAGCATTTCATTAAATATACATACTAAAGTGGGTGACATGTCAAAGGCCCTAATGACTTGTCATTTGCTGAAATTGGTTAGGTCACTGGTAGCCAAGCCACAATTATCCATGGGTACATTATCCACAGGAGATAGTGCATTAAAATTCACCTCAACAGTCCTGACTTTTTGACTATAGGACAGGAGTTCAGAGGAACTTTTATAGAGTAATTTAGAGAGCAATTAGCGACTAATTTCACAATGAGAAAAATATGACTCAGAGGAGTCCATCATCTGATAAATAATCAAAACAGGACTAGAATCCAGATTTGTTGAGGGCCAGGGCCAGCTCTTTCTATCAGCATCTCTTGAATAGTACGCATGCAATCTCCCTTCTTTAGACTTTCCAGGATTTAACCAACTTTTAGTGATGTTTATATGTTACTTGTAATCCAAAAATGCTACCGCCTACTCTTGGCAGGGAAAGAAGGTTTAAAAATAATAAGTACTTTGGTGGAAAAACTACACATTCTTCATACACACCCTTCCCCATGATCTGACTTGAGTTGTATAGGACCTACTTTTTACCTGTGTCAGCCATATGCCACTGTTGATATTGTTGGCCGATGGTGAGTCAAATCCGACTCATAATGGTGCCATGCATGCAGATTAGAACCACTTCAGAAGTCAATTGCTGTGCTCATTTTTCAAGAAACCTCTGGGTGGTTTTGAACTGGTGATAGTTCAGTGCTTAATAGTTTATGTCATCCAAGGACTCCAGGTAACTTGTAGCCAATGCACAAAAAGAAAAAAAAATCAGTCTATTTCCCATGTAAATATTATTTGTTGGCCATTCAGTTGACATTCCATTTGCAGCATCAATATCCTGGCTGATAAATGTGTCTGATATTTGGATTCTCATTTGAACCAGTTATAATATTTGCTTGAATCCCTCCTTAACTAATTAATTAAATAAAATCTTTAATATGTCATTTTGGACATCATTATATGGGTCATATGCTTTTACCTTTTGAAAATTAATTTGACACCTATACTAATACTACTATTATTATGACTATTGTCATCAATGGTTAGACATTGGACTGCAATCAGCAGTTCAAAACCACCATATTCTCTGCAATGGAAAGATGGGGCTTTTTACTCCCAGAAAGAATTATAGTTTACATTAATCCACACATATAGAGGTATTGGCCTATGTACACATATTTATACAGCAATACACTGTGGTAGTGGACAGACTTCAGGCCTCTGCTCATACCCTCCCTCAATACAAGAAAACTTTGTTCTAACAAATCGATATTGAAGACACAGAACAAACAAAAAAACCATATTATTGAGAATGAGGCGGGTGGAGCAGAGACCCAAAGCTCATCTGTAGACAATGGAACCATCCCCCACAGAGGGGACACAGGGAAGGGATGAGTCAACTAGGATGCAGTAAAGCATTGATGAAACACACAACATTCCTCTGGTTCTGAGGCTTCCTCACCACCACCACCACCCCAATATCATGACCCCAGGAAAGAGATGAGGGCTCACAACACAAGGAACAGGAGTGGGAATAGAAATACCAAAAGGGTAGGGATAGGGGGTGGCAGGAGGAAGGGAGAAAAGGAGAACCAATCACAACAATCAACACGTAACCATACACCCTTCTCCAGGGAGAAGGAAACAGAAAACATGGGGGAAGGGAGACAGCGGGTGGTGTAAGATATGAAAATAACGATTTATAATCTGCCAAGGGGTATGAGAGTGGGGGGAATGTATAAATGATACCAAAGCTCAACAGAAACTAAATGTCTTGAAATTGATGAAGGCAATACATGCACAGACATGTCTGATGTAATCAATGTATGGATTGTAACAAGAGTTGTAAGAGTCCCCAATAAAATGATCTTTTAATTAAAAAAAAAAAGAAGAATTACAGTGTCAAAATGTGGTGAAGAAAGCAGATGGTGACCAGCTGTGTTAGTCCAAGTAGACTAGAGAAACAAATCCATAGAAACTCATATGTGTATAAGAGTATTATATAAAGGGTAATTGTACATTAAGAAAGCATCCCAATCCAGTCCAGTCCAAGTCCATAAGTCCATTATTAGCCCATATGTCTGATACCAATCTATAAAGTCCTCTTCAGACTCACGAAACATATACAATGACACTGAATGCAGGATGATCACAGGCCAATGGGTAGAAAGTCTTTGGGTCCAGTGGCGTTGTAAGCATCTCAGTGCTGGCAGGGGTTTCCACGTGGCTTCTCCAGTTCCCAGGGCATGGGGTCTATCAGCGTAGTGCCATGTGTTTTGTCCTCAGGGATGTCTTGCAGGAAGTGAGCAGAGAGAGAGAGAGTCTGTCTCCCACCTCCAAGGAGGACATCCAGGAATTCCCAGAATTCTCAGAAGGCCATGCCCACACAGTTACCTCATTGGCTATGATCCGATGACAAACTAGACTCTACCCCTTCACTCTTAATCCTCTCAAGTCCCAAATTGACACCAGATTGTGTAACCACCACACTAGCTATAAAAATATATAGCATTAGAGGTCTTAAAAGCTTGAAGCGAAACAAGCAGCCATTCAGCAGGGAAGCAACAAAGCCCACATGAAGGAAGCACACCAGCTTGTGTGAGCATGAGGTGTCAACGGGAACAGATATCAGAAGTTCCAAAATAAACAGCCTCATGGAAAGGGGTCAGGGTAGAGACCCAGAGCCTATCCGAGGATAATTGGACATCCCCACACAGATGTGCTGCAAGCAGGAGAAAATGCATCCAGGGGGCAGTTTAGCACTGAGGAAACACACAACGCTCCTCTAGTTCTTTATCTCTCTTCCCTCAACTATTATGATCTCAGTCCTACCTTGAAAATCCTACTAGACCCATGTACATACAGCGGCACAGATGAAAATGTTCAATACATGGAATTCAGCAAAGACAACCCACCTTAGAATCAGTAATGGGAGTAACAATTCC